ATGGTTCTGCAGCACACGGTCCCTGATAACGGCTATTCTGGCCATGGAAGACCATGAGTGTCACTCATCAGGGGTGCAGGCTAAAGCCCACACAGACAAGAGCATCCACAGGGACACTCCTGGCCCAGAGTCGCCATGTGCAGATCACTGCTGTCCGTGTCTGGTCCTGCCCAATCTGGGTCTGGTCCCCAGGTCCACCAGTTCCATGCTGGGTGACCTTGGGCCTGCTGCGGCCTTCTCTGGGGCTCCCTCCTCCTAGTGGAGCTTGGACACTTGGTGGGAAGATTCCGCACCCATTCTCTACGCCTGCCCTCCCTGCCCTGGCTCACGAGCTGCAGGCCACACGCAGAATCCGGGGCCCAGGCCACCTCTTTACCCAGCCCCACATGCAGCAGGCAGAGGAGGGACAGCTGGACCTGAGAGGGGCCTAGAGAGCACTCAGGACCTGCCCTCCCTACCCACCAAGGAGGCAGCTACAGAGACACCCCAACTGATGCCCAGGCGGCGTCCAGCAGGAGCCCTGGCCTCGCCTGCCCTGCCCACAGCAGACGCGCAGCAGCTGGGAGGGGCAGTGGGGCGGCAACCATGCCCTTCGGGTGTGGGGCTTTGTTGTGGCCATCAGGCTGGATGGGGTGGGCCAGGGGAGGGGACAGGATCAGATGACTTGGTGGGAAGGTTCCCCTCTCTGGGAGATCCCCAGAGTCAGGGCTTCGCAAAGGCTCTGAGAAGTGCCGGGTGGTCCCCCTCTCCCACCTGTGGGCGGCGGGCCTCTAGCGCCCTTTCTGGAATCAAGCCTTCCTCCCAGGTGGGGTGTCCACAGGTGCGTCTCCCCGTCATCCAACACATCCAGTCACTGCCAGGTTTCCTTGATGCACTCGACAAACAGGGTCCCCAGAGTCCCGGGTGAGGGAACCGAGGCTCCCAGGGGTGGAGTACCTGGCCCAGGCCTCACAGGCGGAGGTCACCACGCAGCAGTGGGAGCTGGGAGCTAACGTTAGCAGGACCCAGTGGTCAGCGACTGCCGTGGGCTTCCTAGAAGAGGTGTCAGCCTTTCTGGGCGGGGGGGGGGGTGGTAAGGCAGAGCCAAACCAGGCCTCCTCTGCCCCTTTGGTGGGCACGGCCCACCCTGCCGTCCTCCCTGGGGCTGGCTCAGAAAGATGGCAGACCCGCCCGGGGCTGCTCACCCCAAGATGCCACCGTCTGACGGCAGGGTGGGCACACAGCAGTGCAGGGGACCACTCCGGTGGGAGAGCGCAGGAAGAGGCTCCTGGGGCCCAGAGAGGAGCCAGGAGGAGAGCTGGGAGGAGTCCTAACAGTAGTCACCGAGTGTGTCCAGGTGCAGGGAGGGAGCCGAGGCCTGGAGGGGCAGGGCGTGCAGAATGTGGGCCCACTGTGGCTCCCTCAGGCAGGGTGCCCTGACTGCCCTGAGGGCCCTGGCCCCGGAGGCCTGCCAGGCTGCCAGGGCAAGTTAGCAGCACCAGGAGCCCAGGAGGAGGGCGGCAAGGTCACTCTGGGAGAAGCCACCCTCCCGCTAGCAGGTCCAGTCGGGGCCCTGCTGAGGAGGGGAGCAAGACATGCCCCCTGGGCCCTGCCTCCCATCAGGTGGAGCTCATCTCCTCATTACCTCGCTTCCCTATTTTGACACCTACTACGTGCCCAGTGTCACGGTGGTGCAATGACCCCCACTTTACAGATGAGGAAACAGAGGCTCGGAGACTCTAAGGAAGGACACATCGTTTTCAGAGAGGGACCCAGGCACGGATGGGGCAGTCTGAGCTCCAGCTGGACTCCAGTTCCTTGGTGTCTAATATCAGTCACATACTGAGCCCTGATCCTGGTCGCATGCAGATCCCCAATCCCAGTAACAGAGCCTGGAGGCCCAGCCTCTGAGCTTGGCCTCCTGGCAGCTGGGAGAGCCAGAGGTCTTCAGGAAGCCCCCCGAGGCAGGATCAGGAGTGGCATTAAGGGTCGTGGTGTCCCCCGGCTCTTCTCCCGTCTGACTCTGACCACAGAGGGCTGTTCTTCTGCCCACCCCAGGGAAGTGTCCAGGTGTGGGCAGGCAAAGCAGGCTGGGACCAGTGCTATGTGAAGTCTTGCAGCCCTGGCGCAGGCCCCAGGCCCAGAGCCCCAGCACCATGCCCGGCACTGCAAGCACATGACATCAGCCCTGCCCACTGGGCTCCGACCAGCTCTTCCAGGCCATGGAGGCTGCTCGGCCATGGACAGTCCCAAAGCACCCTCCAGGAAGGGGACAGGCAATGGGATCATCTCCCCCAGGCCCTCTGCCTCCCCTCTGCCTGGGCAGGTGAGCCAAGGCCAGCCGACCCCCGAGGGCCTAGACTTCCTCTGAAGTGTTCACTGGCCACCTTCACGGCAAACAGGGACTGGAGCACACATTTGAGTTCCTCGTCCTCCAGGACAAAAAGGGTTGTGGGCAGATGCGCAGAGAGTGGCCATTTAATTAGTCACTGTGGAAAGGGAGGCAGAGGACAGGAGAGGTGCTGGGGGTAGGGGGCATCATCCCAGAGAAGCCAGACTCAGCAGAGAGAAGAGGGGAGGGCAGGGTGGGAGCAGGCTGTGGCCAGGACCAGGGCTGAGTGCGGCTGGCATTAAGGCTTCCAGTGTGATGTGGACCAAGTGTAAGAGTGCAGCAGGGACTGGGCCAGCGTGAGACCAGAGTCGGTCCAATGCCTGTCCTAGGCTGGAGTGTGCCAGGGACGAGGCTCCTTCTGTTACTGGGATTGGGGATCTGCATGTGACCAGGATCAGGGCTCAGTATGTGACTGAGATCAGGGGTTAAAATGTGACCTGGATCAGGTCTCCGGCCATGACGAGGACCAAGGCTCAATGTGTTACTGGGACTGAGGATGAGTGTGTGACCAGGATTAGGGTTCAGTACATCAGGCCTCAGAGTGGCCGGTATCAAGATTCATCACATTGCTGGGATCATGGCTCAGCGCAACCAGTTTTAGAACCATTGTGTGACCAAGATCAGGGCTCAGCTCTGTGTGAGATCAGGGATCAGACTTCAGAGTTGAGAATCCCTCTCTCCTCACCTGTCTGGCCTCTGGGGTGTTCTGAAGGTCCCATCCACCCCCAGACTCTGGAGACCCCAGAGTTCCCACTGCCCTGGTCCGTGTCCCCACAGTGGCTGGTGAGCACGCAAGGCTGGCCCTGGGGAGATTCCCGGGAGGGCAGGACCCTGTGGTCAGCGACATCCTGGGACCAGCTCCCAGAGGAAACATTTGGTTATGTTTATTATTTGTCTTTGGTTGTGACACTGAGACAGGCCAGAGCAGACAAAGTGGAAAGCCACTCTGCACACTGTCCCCTTGCTGACACTGGTGACGCCTCAGGTCCTGCCTCCAAGATGACGTTCCTCTCCTTCCTGAAGACCTCTGGCTCTCCCTGCTGCCCGAAGGCAAAGCCCAGAGGTTGGGCCTCCAGGTTCTGAGCCCCCATGGCCCCTCATGCCCTCAGAGCCCTGCCCTGGCCCCCTGGCCCTCGGAGTCCCCCAGGGCTGGAGGAAGACCAATCCACTCATCACCATCAGGGATGGCCTGCCTGTGAGGGGTGATAGAGAGCCCACCCAGAGGACACTATGACCTGGCCCCTGGGGGGGGGGGGCAGGGGGCAGGCATAGGCCTGGGCTTCACTTGGCTTTCCCTAGCAGCCTGGGGTGGCAGATGTCCAGGGCAGGGCTCCCAGAGGCAGAGAGCACGCTGGGTGACCTCAGGCAGGTGCCGACCTCTCTGAGCTAAGGATGGAGCTGGGGCTACCTGCCTGCCAGACCTGACCCTTGGGAAGCAAGTGTCCCTTCACTGCACCCACCCCTGCTAGGCTGGGTACAGTCCCCTGTCCCCTGGGACATAGGACTCAGTGTTCCCCCTTCAGCAGGATGGAATGGCCGAGGGAGCCTGCTGCCCAAGGCCACGCAGCCAGTCTCTGGGAGTGGCAGTGCCTAGGCTATTTACAGCAGATGGCCCCTAGGAGGAATCGGGAAGAGTCTTCCTGACCCCGCAGGGGGACCCAGTGCACCAAGAATGTCTGGGTGCCCACCCCGCCTCCCTGCCTCTCCCCAGAGGCTTCTCCTCTCTCCTGAAAAAGACAGAAATGTCCTTATTTGGAGGGTCAGCCCAGCCTGGGGTGGGGGCAGGATCCTGTTAACCCTTCCTTTATAAATAAAGGGATAAATCAGGGCCAGTTAAACACTGCTCGCAGGAACGTAAACAGAGTGGGCGGCTCCAGCCCAGCCCCTGCCCACCCTCCCCTGCGCAGAGCACAGTGTGCCTGAGACCCACACCCTCCCGGTGGCTGCTGGGACCTGGCTCCAAGCTCCACCCCAGCGAGCAGCCTGGTGGCCAGGGTAAGTGTGCCCTGCTCTCAGGGCCCGTAGAGGACAGCAGCTGGCTCTCAGCCCATCTGCTCTGCTGAGCACCCACTCCCTTTGGGAAAGGACCAGGGTGTTGACCTGGAGCTGACCTGGTGGAGGTGAGGACAGACAGGTGGCAGGAGGATGGTGGGTGTGGGGTCAGGGGTGGGGCGAGCGGCTCATGGCCCTCCCCATGGGCAGGGCTCTGTCCCAGCAGAACAAGTTTATCAGCCACCACTTGTGCTAGGGGCTGCTGTGCCCTTGATCCAGATCAGTTCAGTTAATCCTCCCAGCAGCAGCTAAATTCCAATACGGCAGATTAGGAAATAAGGCACAGGGTGGTTCAGTGAGTTGCCTGAGGATGCATAGCAGGTAAGTAGAAGAACCAGAATGGAACCAGGCCCTGAAACCACATTTTGAGCCCTATGATCTTACCTTTGTTTTCTCCCTCCAACCTGAACTCAGTCCTGTGGGGAATGTGCTTGTGCCTGTCTAGTAAGGACAGGCCCCAAAACCTTAGCATTTTGCTGAAGGTCCACACTGCAAGTGTCAGGTGTGAGTGGTGCAGAGAGAGCAGGGTCTCAGGCGGGGCCAGGCAAGGGTGTGGGAGGGGACAGAGTGGACAGACCAAGCAAGGGCCAGCCTCAAACAGAGCTGGCTGCCAGGCTGCTGCTGCAGGTAACCCCTTCTCCTTCCAGGGCCACCGCCATGCCCTCTGCGCCTGCAGCAGTGCCCTGGGCCTTGGCAGCCCCCAACGCCACGGTGTCAGCCAACAGCAGTGTGCCAGAGACCTCTCTCTTCCACCTGTTCGCCCTGCTGGACGAGGAGCTGTACTCGGCCTTCCCAGGCCTCTGGCTGGCGCTGATGGTGGTGCACGGGGTCATCTTCCTGGCCGGGCTGGTGCTCAACGGGCTGGCCTTGTACGTCTTCTGCTGCCGCACCAGAGCCAAGACGCCGTCGGTCATCTACACCATCAACCTGGTGGTGACTGACCTGCTGGTGGGCCTGTCCCTGCCCACGCGCTTCGCGGTCTTCTACGGTGCGCGGGGCTGCCTGCGCTGCGCCTTCCCGCACGTCCTGGGCTACTTCCTCAACATGCACTGCTCCATCCTCTTCCTCACCTGCATCTGCGTGGACCGCTACCTGGCCATCGTGCAGCCCGAGGGCTCCCGCCGCTGGCGCCAGCCCGCCTGTGCCAGGGCTGTGTGCGCCTTCGTGTGGCTGGCCGCTGGCTCCGTGACCTTGTCGGTGCTGGGGGTGACGGCAGGCGGGCGGCCCTGCTGCCGCGTGTTCGCGCTGACCGTGCTGGAGTTCCTGCTGCCGCTGCTGGTCATCAGCGTGTTCACGGGCCGGATCGTGTGCGCACTGTCGCGGCCAGGCCTGCTGCGCCAGGGCCGGCAGCGCCGCGTGCGGGCCATGCAGCTGCTGCTCACGGTGCTCGTCATCTTCCTCGTCTGCTTCACGCCCTTCCACGCCCGCCAGGTGGCTGTGGCGCTGTGGCCCAGCGTGCCGCACCACACCAGCCTGGTGGTCTACCACGTGGCCGTGACCCTCAGCAGCCTCAACAGCTGCATGGACCCCATTGTCTACTGCTTCGTCACCAGTGGCTTCCAGGCCACCGTCCGTGGCCTCTTCCGCAGGCACGGAGCAGAGTGTGAGCCCAGCAGCGGCGACGTGGTCAGCATGCACAAGAGCTCCAAGGGCTCGGGCCCCCAGATCCTTCTCAGTGCTGGTCCTCGTGCACTCACCCAGGCCCTCACCAATGGGCCTGAACCTTAGGTCAGCAGCACTCTGCCAGGGGCCAAAGGTCAGGGCTTGGCCGGGTGGCCAGCCCAGACACCTGCTGGGCCGGGGCAGCAAACTGGTCTCATTTGGATGGACTGCAGATGGGTACCAGGGCACCGCACTGAGATTCTAGGGCTGCGGTTGATTAGCCATGTCTGCATGGGCTCCGGATGGGTGTGGTGGTCTGAGTGCCAGTTACTTGCCTTCCTGGGGTCTCCTGCACCCACTGAAATCCCAGGAGGGTAGGCGGGCTGCTGTTCACTGGGCCCCTTGTCTACAGAAGGAGCTCCTCAGGAGAAGGAGCAGAGGTCACCTGGGTCTGTAGGCTCCCAGGAAGGTTAGAGAAGCAACCGAAAGAGACCTGCCCACACCCAGGTGGCAGCACAGGACAGGGGAATGTGGGGACATAAATGCTGCACACTGGGCCAGGACAGGGGGTCACCTCTGTAAGGCCCCCACCTGAGGCCCCCTAAACTCTACAGAAGACAGCGTGACCCCCAAGGGCTTTGAGATCCCGTCTGCACCTGAGCCTGCGCAGGAGGGGCATCTCTGTCCACCTTTTGTGCTGGAGGGAATGGTGTGCGGTGCCACCACGAGCAAGGGCAGGAACGGAACCAGAGCCCAGAGCCCTGCTCCTCCCCTGGGCACTGCTCAGAGCCTCTCAAGAAACAGACTCAGAAGGCCCTCCTGCCCCGGGAGGACAGCAGGCCTCAGGCCTCATCCTGTGGACCAGACATGACCACTGGCACACAGGCCAGCCGGCTGAAGGCCACAGGGTGGGTCTCCCCTCCGGAGCTACAGAGGACAAGCCTGGCCGTCCTGGCCCAGCCCGCGGCTCCATGCCTTTGACCCAGGAGAAGCACTCTCTGGCTTGGATCTCTGATCAGCTCCGTGGACCCTGGAATCACCTCCCACATGCTTCTGCCCTTGCCTGAGCTCCCAGGGCCCTAACCAGGCCGTACGTGGGAAGGGGGCTGTGGAGGAGAACAGGCCCTCTGAGTGTCCCTGCCTGGGGACTTGGCCAGGACCACTGAAGCAGGTGAGATGGAATCAGGCCCAGGTCGGGCCCTTGCCTATGAGAAAGTCCTCTGTGCTCAGGTGCCCTGTGGCCTGGGCAGCTGGGAGAGGGGTGGGGCAGGGGGGAAAAAGCCCCCACCTTGGCCCCAGGCAAAGTGTCGTTGCCACTGCAGGCCCTGGAGAGGGTGTGGACAGGAGCTAGGAATGCCACTTACAACCCCACTGACGACAAGAACACTGACTCTCAGTGGAACGGGCTTGCTGAGGCTGCAGAGGGAGTACCTGGAGCAGGGGCCAGTATGGTCCCCACGGAGCCCATGGGCCTCTGGCTCCAGGACATCATGGGGCTGCTGGGGCAGGGAGCACCCATAACTCTAGCTGGCAGGACCTGAGCCCTGGCACCAAAGGCATGCCCAGCAGGGGATACTGTGACCCTCGACAGGAACGACTCCCTGGCCCCGTGCCCAAGAAGCAGTGGGCATCACTGTCCTTGTTGTCCTGGCCACCCTATCCCTGACCCTCACTGGTGCAGGCCCTTTGGCTGGGAACTGCCCCCAACCCAGCTCCCAGGACGCTCAGAGCACCCACAGCCCACCAGGACCCAGAGTTCCAAAAGACAAGAGGGCCTGGCTCAGGTAGAAGGTGGCCAGCAGCCGGGAAAGACCTGAAGCCACCCTTCAGACCGCAGGCTCCGCTGGGGCAGGGCGGTCCCCGCGGGCCCACTCCCTGGGAGAGAAACCTGGAGGCAGGGCCCCTGGCTGGGCCGCTCGGCTCACCCAGGACCCCTCTGTGCACAGTTGTTCAGGCCAGGGACCCTCGAGGGCTTTGGCTGCTCTTGCTCATCCCAGGGGACCCCCCCCCCAAGCCCCAGCAGCTGCCCACCAGTTACCCCAAGCCCTGGCCAGGCCAGCTCCCCATGTGACCAGGGCCGTGACAGCCCCACCTCCCTTCGCCACTGCCCTGCGCCGACCACCTCACTGGGCACCGCTGTGGGGAGGGATGCTCAGCAGGGGACAGCCTGGGCCAAAGCGGGTCCGAGCCTGCCTCCCGGAGGCCAGTGAGGGGCCAGGACACACCAGAACACCCGACTTCACATGTGGGCTGTGGTCCCCTTCTTTTGTAGCAAGTGCCCCCTCCTCTGCCAGGGTTGGGCCCCCACCACCTTTCTGCCACTCTGCCCTTCTCCCGCCCCTCCAGGCCCCCACCTGTTCCCTGTCTGGTTAGAGGGAAGGGGTGCCCTGATTCACACTGGAGAGGGAAGGGCTGACAGTCGCTGCCGCCCTGCCTGGAGGAGGAGGGACTGCAATTTTTCAATCTCTTCCAGGAGGAGGGGTCCCTGAGACGGGGGAGCCAAGTGCCCCCTCTGAAATCTTACCCTGCAACCTGGATTCCCTCGGGCCTTGAAGGCTTCTCAAACTGCCAGGGCCTTCGGGGAGGAGGGCCACCTGTCCTCCAGGGCCATGGTCCCACCTCTGAGAACTCAGTCTGACGTCCGTCTCCCAGAACCCTGACAGGCAGGCCTGTGCCACTCCTCTCCCCCAGCCTGGCAGCCAGGACAGGGCCTGGCGTCCACCTGTGGCCTTGTCTGGCCCACAGTACCCTCCTGATGCTGCAGGTCAGGCCAGGCCTGCGGTCCCACAGGGCATGAGGCCCCTGCACCCCCACTCCCTGCCCTTCCTCTCCAGATTCCCAAAAAGCCCGAGCGGGCGGAGTGGTGTGTGCATTTATATCTGATGTCAACAAGCCCTTCACGAGGGGCCCTGGTGCTGAGCTAAGGCTGCTTATCCCCTAGTACCCACGACTCGGCTCCCAGGCTGCCAGGCAGGGGTGTGGGGCGCCAAGCGCGGGGCTGAGTGTCCTCCTCCTCGTCCACCTGCTGTCCTGTGAACCAGCAGAACGGTGGGCCCTCACCTCATCCTCAGTCCAGGGAGGGGACGCAAAGGTGGGCGGACGGCCAGACCTCCCACAGAGTCCCTCCTGACCACCAGCGCTGTAGTCTGGAGACAGGGGGGTCCCGCCCAAGGCCCACTAGGTGCCGTGAGCCCTCCCTCCTATGTCCCTGGGAGGCCAGGTCATCGCCCCCTTCACAGATATGGCCCCGAGGCTGGGGGAGCTTAGAGGGCTCACTCCGCCCCCCGGGGCCAACTTGCCAGCCTGCAGCCCCCTCTCTGGCCTCCGCCCAGGGCAGTACTGGGGTGGGAGGAGCAGGCCGCCCATCACTCTCCCTGTCTGGTCTCCTCCAGGCCGGAGGCGTCTGGAGGTAAATATTAGGTCCTGTTTAGATTAAACGCCACTAATAGCAGGAAATGTCACCTCAGGCGCCCGCCCTGGCTTCCTGGAGGCCTGAGGCGGGGCCAGGGCTCTGTCTGAGCTGGACACCCAGAAGAGGTCTGGCTGCAAACTCTGGCCCCGTCCCTCCCATAGGGTCTCCTGCTCCTCCCTGTACTCAAGGACACTCCTGGGCTCTGTGTGCCAGGCTCCTCACCCCCCACTCCCCTCCTGGGGTCAGGAGGTGGGATGAGGCCATGTGGCATGTGAAGAGAAGCCACCCTGGGGTCAGTCCTGCCCACGCCCACCCATCCTCTGGGTCTGTGCTCCCAGCTCACAGGAAACTGAGGCTCAGAGACATGATAAGAGCTCTTCAAGGCTCCCCAGTGTCACTTGAGGGGACAGGCTAGCAGTCCTGGCTCAGACCTGCGTGGCTCTAGGGTCAGGGCACACCTAACCCCCCCTCCCAGAAGCCACAGAAAGCTGTGGCCACAGACTGTCAGCAGGGCCACCTGGCTTTGGAGGGGTATGCTCATGTGCAGGGCGAGGAGGGGCAAGCCAGACTGGGAGGGCTCAGGGGCTATCCTGGTGTGGCCAGGCCCTGGCCAGCCCTTGGCACAGGGAGCCTGGAGCCTGGTGGCAGAGCTGGGCTCTGGTCCCACCACACAGCAACGTGGTCAAATGCAGGGCAGGGCCACTGGAGGGCCTCGTGGAGGAGGGCCCTCTCTTTCTCCTGGCCCTCACTGCCCACTGGGCAGGGCATCTTTCCTCCTGGGCCCAGCTCCCACCCAGCCGGGCCTCCCCTTGAGGCCGTGGTGCTGGGAGCGTCGGGTGCCCCTCACTGCCCAGGCAGCAGGGCTCATTTTATGATGAAGGATCTGAGGACGACACCCCTCCCCACTGGACTGTGCAGCAGGCCCCAGCCCTGCCTTGGCACTGAGGCTCTGACCCAGGACCCAAGGCCTCGTCTTGCAGCTGCAGTTGGGAGTCTAACCCAGTTGGCAGGTGCCCCAGGAGTCGGGGCCTCCGACACCACGTGGGGCCTTGGCGGAGGCCTGCAGCACAGCTCCCCTGCCCTCTGGGCCTCCGTCGCCTCCTCTGTAATCTGGAGGCGAGGCTCCCTAGCCCTGGCGAGCAAGGTGCTGCCCATCAGGTCCTGCCCTCTCCCTCTGCCCCTCCAGGGCCTCTCACGCCCTCTGCCCACCCACCAGCCCACCGCTCAGACCCTCCAACTCCCATCAGCAGCAAGGACTTGAACGGAAGGGCTCTCTGTGTTTGCAACCCCCCGAGGCTCTCGCCCCTCCCTCCACCCGGGCCTCCTGGGGCCCCAGCTGGGGAGAGGACAGGTGCACCGTCACTTGCCCTTCATGGAATCATCAGCCAGGACTGTGGCTCTAGTACATTCCTAGCAGGTCAGTGTCACCTGAGTCCCAGGTGTGCAGGCTGCTGTCCAGCCTCCCAGCGAGGGCTGCCCCCAGGCACAGCCAGACCAGGGGCCAGTCAGGCACTGCCACATCACCTACGGTTCCACGACGTCGCAGCGTGGCTGGTCAGGGAAAGCGCCAGTATGCACGTGGGTAGGACTGCAGGCATTGCTAGTCGCCCAGGTCCCAAGAGAGTGGGCACTGGCTCTCAGAGCCTGCTGTGCTGGGGGCTCCAAGGACAGGGTGGGCATCACCCTCCTGGCCTGCCTGGTACCCACTGGAGGCCCATCCTCCCCTGAGCAGCAGCGTGAAGACCACACACTTTACAGTCCACACACGATTCTGCTGCTTATCTCAGCAAAGAGGTGCGCACAGAGTGAGAACCCTGGGCCCAGGTCCCTCAA